GAAAACATAGCGGAGTGCAAAGTTGTCCTCCATTTTGTTTATGTCATGGACGGTTTTCGACGTTATGCGCATGCGCGAGTACAAACTCTGTCGAAGTATAAATTGTTTTTCATTTTGAAAGGACGTATTTTGCTGTTTTACAGCAATTTTTTGTTTTAAATTTCGTTAAAAATTTTACAAAAGTACAACTTACACGTTTTTTTCGTCGATTTCAACTGGAAATAAGCCTGCAGTTTCATGAATTAGTGGCTGTTCAACCGTGAAACAAAGTTTGTATAATAATTGTTTTGATGTTTTGATGTCTATGCCTTTGATAATTATATTTAATCATTGTTGTGCCGGTTTGGGTAAGTGTAAACAGTTCAGTAGTAAAATCCATGCCGTACTTGCTCTGTGTTGTCGGTTTTATTCATATCAGCGAAATTTTTAAGCCACTCTTAACTCGAAAATTCACTTTAATGCAAGCAGGTATGCATGAAATTGCAGTGAATGTTATCGTTCATTATAACGCTAGCGCATCAGTTGTGTTTTTATGTTTGTTTATAATGGTCTTAATACTTGTATATGTGGAACTTTTATACTTCATCTGCTTAGAAAGGCGTGGGGTTGCTGCATGCATGTATTTTATAGTATTTAACAACTATTCGCCGAAGCGACATGGAAACCCAGGGTGGTGGATAGACTCTTGTTTACAGTTACACCTTTACAAACTACAAGAACGTGGATTCCTCTGGTAACGCTGTAACTCTTGTCCCAAACTGGTCTGCCAGTGTAAATGTCCCTGTTTCGACCACTCCTACTCTGAGTGAATTGACACGCGGTGCTGTATAGACTACAACTTTTCGGAAAATATCGGAAGAGAAATTCTTATCAAATCAGATATTAACCATTGGTTGATTTGCAAAGAGAATGGTGGGTGTTTTATTATCGGGGAATATTAACCGAGACGAAGTCGAAGTAATTATTCCCCGATCTTCACCGACCCTAAAACGAATAATTGTTTTTCTACACAAGTCTTTGTGAGTTTTTTTGTGACTAGCTGAATTTATTTAATTTCGCTTATTTCTTATGATCAGTAACTTCCACAAAACGGCTAGCCGCCATTTTCAAAATTTAGGTTTTGTTATATTCACTTGTATAGGTAGGTACTTATAACAGCTTATTTTTCATCCTGCTCGGTTTCCTTTGTTCTTGTCGGGGAATATATTCAATATTCTCCTCTAATCAATTTCCGTTTAATAATCCCCTCTAATATTCACCTGCAATTAATAATCCCCTCTAATATTCACCTGCAATGAGTTTGCAGCACAAAAAATGAGAAAAAACAACATCGCAAAAGCAATATGGCATTGAGAATTATTTCTTTTCTGACTCATTAACGCGACCTCGCAGTGTGAAAAATAAGTACGTTATTTTGAGGCACCTCGGGGATATGTGTTTATTCACCTCGGCGCTACGCGCCTCGGTGAATAAATCACATATCCCCTCGTTGCCTCAAAATAACCTATACTTATTTTTCACCCTGCTCGGTTTCCTTTGTTCTTATCGGGGAATATATTCAATATTCACCTCTAATCAATTTCCCTCTAATATTCACCTGCAGTGTCTTTGCAGCACAAAAAATGAGAAAAACAACATCACGAAGGCAATATGGCATTAGGAATTTTATTTCTATTCTGACTCATTAACGCGACCTCGCAATGTGAAAAATAAGTACGTTATTTTGAGGCACCTCGGGGATATGTGTTATTAACCTCGGCGCTGCGCGCCTCGGTGAATAAATCACATATCCCCTCGTTAATTGCTTCAAAATAACCTATACCTAATACGTCAACTATGACGAATCAACTTGTAGGATTTGTTATTTTCACTTGTGCAAAAATACTAATACGTAAAATTCACTGGTCAACTAACGAATCAGAAAGCGCGAAATCTCATTTGGCACGCAAGACAAGCTTACAATAAAATGTGTTGTTTATACTTAATTTAACTAGCGCTAGCAGTTTCTAGTAAACTAAATCAAGTTTTGATTTCTCATATAGATATATCGTTCGTGCAGAACCTCAGGGCACGCATTGGTACCACGCCCATATGCGATACCAAATATCCAAGGGGTTGTTTGGTGCGTTGATAATATATGAAGCGCAAGGTGACATTCATAACAAGCTTGGGCCATTTGAAGATCAACCTGAGCGAAAAACAATATCTGTAGTCGATCGAATAATGACCATACCCACGATGGTAACTAATGCGTTTTGCTTACCAGACGGATCAAAGCTGCCAATCCAATTTACATCGCATTACCAGTTATTGGTTAATGGTGTCAAACTTACTACAAACGTCCAGGAAAGTTCTGGTAATGAGTCGCATAAACACAATTATTACATAGTTGGTGGTAAGAACTATCGTTCCCGAATCATCTGCGCGACTATGGGGACTGTTTTTGTGATTTCCATAGATCATCACAAAATGCATGTTATGGCCGTGGACGAGTACCCAGTAAAACCATTTGAAACTGATTTCCTGATTATGCACGTTGGTGAAGTTTTCGATTTTATATTGAAAAGCAAGAAAGACCTGCTGCCAGGTACCAACTACCCAATCAAAATTCAGTCGCTTGCTGTTAAGTGTAACAATAATAGTGAACTAGCCGGAAGAAGTTTTGCTTTTCTTGTGTACACAAATAAGTCTCACGAAATCAGACCACTGACCTCAGAAAATTTGATAGTTCAGAATGACAGATGTAATAATAAATCCAACCCATGCACGATAATGAACTGTCCTTTTAAAATAATGCCAACTGATTATTCTGGACCAGGTACATATCTGAAATGCTATGATGTGTTATCCCTTGAGCTGCTCTATTCCACTCCATATTTTAAAATTTCAACTTCAGATGATATTGCAAGGGAATATTTCTTTAACCTTGAAGGGGTGAAACCGAAATACTCTATTATCAATGGAGTTGCATTCTTGTCACATGATGTGCCTGTCCTTCAAAGAAATGGTGCAAATCAATGCACATGTCCGGTAAGCTGTAAATATCCTGGAAAAGTTTGACGCATACCGTATATTTAAATCAGTTCAATACTGCTACAAGATTTGTGATTTCGTCAATAAACGAAGGACAGCCAGGTGGTGAAAATCTTACACATCCAATTCACATGCATTCATATACGTTTTTCGTCGCAAAAATTGTATACCCTGAATACTACGAGAATGGAACTGTGAAGGCAGCGAACAAGGACCTATCAATGTCGCAATGTGGGCCACCTGAATGGAGAAATGGCGCACCCGAGGGCATTTCCGTGACCAGTACTACTATCCGTAAAAGTACTGTGATGGTACCCGCTAGTGGATATGTGGTTATTCATTTCTTCGAAGACAATCCTGGATACTGGTTGATGCACTGTCATACTGATTGGCATCTCAATGACGGAATGGCAATAGCAATTGGTGAAAATCCGGAGAGGGCGAGCACTCCTCCTGAGTTAATGAACACGAATACAAAGGATTTTTGCTTCAGCGTAAAAACATTTATTGGTAAGTGTAATAGTCTTCGAGCTTTGTATTTTTACAAGATAAGTACAACAACAACACGAGGCCCCATGGGGGGTCTCAAACCGGAAGTATATCATTACATCCTCCTTTCCCTAACATTAATATGAAAGTTTATAGTTCCTTGAGTTTCAGTATAGTACTATAGTTTCTTTTAGATATCAATAAGATAAGATGTTTTGTATATATATAATAACAAGTCATTTACAGACTGTCGTCTTGTGTTCAATTTCTTTCTACATATCTAAACGTGTTGGGGGTACTACTATTCTGCCGCTACGCGTTGTGTATTGGTGGCTTTCTTGGGTGCTCTTAGGGAACGGGGTTTCGGGGTTGTCTAGTGTTTTTCTCACAGGGTTGTTGATATGCTTGTTCCATTGGATCTTGTGGGCGTTCTCGTATCTGTGTTCGATTTCGTCTGATTTCTCCTCCTCCTGGTTTCGTGATAATGTAAGATCGGGGTACTTCTTGAATTTTCTCTTTTATCTCTGCGGGTTTCCAGGTTTGTGTCCTTGGGTCTTGGATGTTTATGCTTTGACCAGGTTTTAATGGTTGGAGCGGTTTTGTATTTCTGTCATGGTAGTATTTCTGCGTAGCTTGCCGCTGTAATAATCTGCTAGTCACCTCCTCAGTTGTTTTTCCTTTCGGTATTTTCTTTGGCAGGTTGTCTTGGATTGGTCTACCAAATAAGAGCTCAGCTGGGGATGGAAGAGTGCTGTTGATTGGAGTTGCCCGTAAGCATAACAAAGCCATGAGTGGGTCTGTATTGGTTGCTCTTGCTTTTTTCATTGTCTTTTTCGTAGTCTTGACTTGGCTCTCAATAAACCCATTGCTTCTGGGGTAGTGTGGTGAGCTTGTGGTATGTTGGAAATTATATTGCTTTGCGAACTCTTTATATGCTTGTCCTTCAAAATGGGGCCCATTATCGGATCTTACGATTTTGGGTACTCCTTGTTCGCTGAAAATTTCTTTCGTTAAATTCGCGATTGTCCTACTGCTGCTCTTCCCTTTTGGTACCTCTCGCACGAACTGGTATTTTGAGTAGTAGTCAGCGACCAATAAGTATTCCGCTCCGTCTAGGTAGAATAAGCCCGTGCCGATGGTATGCCATGGACCTGGCGGTACCTCTGTCTGGATAAGTGGCTCTTTGGGTTGACTGTTCTGCATTTCTTGACATGTATTGCACGATTTGCACGACTTCTCAATGTCACTGTTCATTCCTCTCCAGTAAACCGATGTTCGTGCTCTTAATTTAGTTTTTTCGGACCCTTGATGACCTGCGTGAAGCTTCGTAAGTATCATGCTCTGCATACTATGGGGGATGATAATACGTTGGCCTTTCATTGCTATACCATCTTCGGTGGTGATCTCATCACGAAAGGTCCAATAGGGTTTGAGGATTTCTGGAACCTGCTTTATGTTCGTTGGCCATCCATTGTAAACCACATCATTTAATTCTTTAAGCTCCGTATCTGTTGCACTTGCCATGTGGATCTCCTGCAGAATCCCACTACTAAATTGTGGACAGATTTCGTGTATTTGGACGTCCATGTCAGAGATGGGCTCTGTTTCCTGGGGCGAAAGTCTTGATAGGGCATCTGCGATTTCCATATCTGCTCCTTGACGGTACTTGATTGTAAGGCTGTACGGCTGTAGGCGCAACAACATCCGTTGCAGGCGGGGTGGGGCTGATGTAAGGTGCTTAAGGTGGATAGATTCAAGGGGTTTATTATCAGATTGGACTGTAAAACTGCGGCCGTAGAGATAAGTGTGGAATTTCTCGCATCCGTATACAACTGCTAAGAGTTCTCTTTCGATGTTTGCGTATCGTGATTCTACGTCAGTTAAAGCTTTACTGGCAAAGGCGACTGGCTTGTCTTCTTGCAAGAGTGTAGCTCCCAGGCCTTTTGTTGATGCGTCAACTTGCAGTACTTTCTCTGGGTCGAAGTATGTTAGTGTAACTTCTTCAGAAATTAAATTCTTGATCCTGTCAAACACATCCTGTTGGCTTGCGTCCCAGGCAAACTTGCTCTCCTTCTTGAGTAGCTGTCGCAGTGAGGCAGTGTGGTGACTGAGATTCGGGATGAATGGTGCCATATAGGTGGCCAGACCCAAGAATATCTGTAGTTCTTTGCTGTTGGTCGGTGGGGCCATCTGCTTCAGGGCGGACACTTTGTCAGGGTCTGGTTGAATTCCTTCTGGACCGCAGATAAGCCCATAAAACTTTATTTTCTCTTGCTTTATGTGGCATTTGTCAGGGTTTAGTCTCAGACCTGTGTGTTGGCACCGGCTCATCATGCTTCGTAGATTTTGGTCGTGTTCTTCTTCTGTTGTGCCAGAGATAACAATATCATCTGCGATACCCACAACGCCTCTACATCCTTCGAATGTTTGGTCGATCTTTGCTTGGAAGATGTCTTGTGACATGTTCAGCCCAAAGGGCATACGCTTGAAACGGTACCTGCCAAATGGGGAGTTAAAGGTAGCTAAATAGCTTGATTCTTCATCAAGTACCACATTCCAATAGCCACACTTTGCATCGACTATTGAGAAGAACTTTGCTTTGTGTAATTTTGGTAAAATTTCTTCCAAGGTAGGAATGGCGTGATGTTCTCTTAAGATAGCTGTGTTTAGGTCTTTGGGGTCTAGGCATAAACGCAATCGTCCATTCTGTTTCCTCTTGTAGACAAGACTGTTTACCCATCTTGTGGGCTCTCCTTCGTTTATTTTAGTTATGATACCATTTGCAACCATCTCGTCTAGTTCTTTCTTAATGTCATCTTTCAGACTGATTGGAACTCGTCGCGGAGGGTGGATAACAGGTGGGACTGATGGGTCGGTGGTTATGTGGTATTCTCCTTCGAATTTTCCTATGCCATTAAAACAGTTTGGGTATTGATCTATCAAATCTTCTTTGCTCTTTATTGGTTTGGGTACTGGTGGTCGTTCGGGGGTTCTGGTGGTTAGTGGTGGTTGCTCAGGGGTTCTTGTGGTGGACCATAGTGTGTTGCTGTGTAACACTTGTTTGAGTATGGCACAATTGAATTTCACAAGGTTGAGGTCAATCAACGTTGGTAGGCCAAT